ATAGGTTGATTTAGCGCCAAGGAAGAGCACTAAAGCAGCATGGGTGGGTAGAGATAAATTATTTTTTGATACTATGCCCTTCATACCACTGGTAAAGATTAAATATACTTCCAGAAATGGTTTTCAAATGTTTAGAAATTTCATATTGATAATTTAAATTAATAGTCATAAAAATCTATGATAGCAAAGCAGAATCAACAAAACACGATCATAAATGCTCAGCAAGGAAGAAAAGAAAAACGCTAAAGTCCAACCAAAGAAGACAAAGTAGAGACAACCAAAATCATCCATTCATGAACAGGCAGTTGTCAAACAAAAGCAAGAAACAGGTGATTTTTATATCCTTGACGAGGAAAACCAATATTTTCATGTCATCAAATTAGCATGACAAATGGCGTTTTCTTTTTTAAAATGATTTCAAAGATTGATGATTAGTTATCAATCTGTATAAGACAAGTGCATATCAACAAATTAAAATTGATATGGAAATATAGAACAAACAGAAGCCTAACCTTGTTTCCTATATATCCCATAGCACCAACACCAACAGAAGACACCTTCACGTTTTGAATAATCTTTTGAAGGTATCTCCGAGCCCATATTGATATGAAAATGCCAACCATTTGTTTTTTTATGATCCTCACAAAAGACGATCTTTTCTTTGCACGGAAAATGACACGTGGATCAAACTCTTGTATCGATCCAAAGTATAATGAATCTTTTTTATCTCCCAAAGCTGAAGCGAGTGGACTGCAAGTCTTAAAAGACTTTGATCTTAAAGTTGGACTATCTGAAACACGCCTGGCTAATAGTTCCCGTGGTTGTTCTGGCCATGCCAAGCCAATCTTTTCTGAGCCACTAAATGTTTTAATTAGCTTGTTTTGTTGAGAAATTGGTGTTTTGGGAATTATGTCACTGTCTATCATACTAAAACGATGACACTTATCCAACTTTTTCATTGATAGCCCGTTCTCAGTGCTAATCCCATTGAAATCATCACAATCATTCATGGAATCATTAACTTGTTGGATCATTTCATTGTCACTTTCATTATCAGTTTCATGCAAAAGCAATTTTTCGATGATGGCAGAAGCATCTTCAGATGGCTTGAGCCTTGAAGGAGAAGGAGGATCACTGTAGCATTTGCATGTTGGTTTTCCCGTTTGAACTTTGTTCAGTGACTTACGAATGAGATTTTCCCATCTTGGCACTGGACTGCAGTCTTCAGCACCGAATATGTTCCCCGCATTCAATGGAACAACCTCCTGAAAGCTGCAATTGTCTCAAATATGTTATATATGTTGGAAAATAAAACAAACTTGTAATGTTCAAAGTGTTTCACTATACTAACTATACAAAATTACAACAAAATTCCAAAGTAGAGGCGAATGAATTAGTAATTGCAACCAGTTTTTATCTAATAGGAAACAAAACAAGGAAAAGGGTTTATGATATTACCCAAGCACATACATATCAGCAGGTTCATTTGTATTTAGCCACTCGTCAATATCCAAGTCATCATGCGGTACTTTCCCCCCAACATTCCATGTACCAACACAAATCCTACGAAAAAAAAAAGGTCAATTAGAAGAAGTTTAGATTAGAGTTAATAAATGTTCATTTATGTTGGAATTGACTATGATGGTTAGTTGAATATAGATTTATGATGCAATTAATGAGTATACGAATTTAGTTTCAAAAAGAATTTTGAACATTGGTGTATTGCAAAAAATTTTATTTTGAGTATTGTATACATTTATAATGTAATGAAAAGAGAACAATTACAAACGAATGAAAAATTCAAATAGCAGTATGAAATAGAAGTCTTAAAGTTAATGTAACTTGCCTTATATCCTTGGCATCAATGTATTGTGCACGTAGGGTCTCAGAATTTCTCCTCCTTAGTATGCAATAAGCCCCCTCTGACTTGTTATTAAGTAGCAAAACTTCAGCTTACTAAAGAAGCATTTAATGATATAGAAATCAATATCATCATAGTCAGCAAAATGTCCAATTTCATGACTTTAAAACTAACACAATCTAATCATTTTTGTTTTTTTTTT